GGTACACGCTTGCATGTTTACTTAGTGAACTGAACAAATTGTTTACAAGAACCGAATTTAACAAATTATTAGAACCGAAGAATCAATTTCCATCGCAAGAATGGGCGTTGATAAGTTTTTGTTACGTTGTTATGTGTACGAGAATTAATAATTGCACGTAATACATCAAGTTTTAGTAAAATATCAAAGTGTGAAGATTCGAGTAAAAAAAGCTCGGCACGGAACGTGTTAACCCTGCTTTCGCGACAAAAATGTAAATTTGCGCAGGCATCTTCAATCTGGCAATCAGCCTCTACACACAAAAGTGGTCCGCGGGTGTGTACACAAAAAAAAGCGAATTCGGGATATCCAACGAAGTTATTTCGCAAGAGTCGAACTCCGCCGTGTCGCGACGCGAAGTCGCGGAAACTTTCGGAGCATAATTTAATATTTACGTAGACGACGGGTCGCGGCGGGTGTCGTGTAATAACGTTTATCGACGTGTGTCGAGCGAAACGTGTTTGTTTTGCGTTCCGAAGTGACCGGTGCACCGACGCACTTTTCGAATGACGAGTGTCCGTGCACGCGCGTATCAGTTCGACAAAAATGTCAACGTTTATTTACGCGTTCCCCCCTCTCGCGGTGCAAGAACAAACAAAAAAAAAGAGAGAAGAACGTTTGCTTCGTGAAAGTTTGATAATAACGCGGACAGCCGGAGAAATATTGCAGGTCGATGCGAACATTTTTCTCGTCGCGGACTTTAACAGTCAATTTATTAAAGAAAATTTCCTCCGCTGAAAAGGAGATAAAATGGCTGCTCAAGAACACCGAGTGGCCATTCCCATAACATTTCTCAGCCACCACCTCATTTTTCTCCCTTCGCCGTGCATAAATCCACTTTATGTTGCCCGGACAGTGCGCCCGGGCTAGCATAATCTACGGTTAAAGCGACGATTAGATGGAGCTAGTTTATTCGCCCTTCCCTGACGAGTTTACCGTCCCTATCGATTACGCTCTATCCGCGAATTAACCTCCGTTTCATTTGCTGTCGGGCATCGCCGACCGAAATGGAAACTTCTGGTCGAAATAAAAAAAACACTGCGACAATTGCCGAGAACGTTGTATTTTATTTATTTTCTAGAACAGGATCTAATTAAACAGGACCGTTGAAACCGTTTAATGCAAACGAACGAATGAATAATGTATAAATTTTTTTTCGCTTTGCACTGGCTCGATTATCCGATGAAGCAATTTTTTAACGATATTTATTATAATATAATTTATTTATATTATAATTATATATATTATATTATTATATTATATAATATAATTAATTAATATTATATTATATTATGTATATATATACTATATTATTATATTATATTATATAATTAATTTATTACAATTTTTAACGGTATTTATTACAATATAATTTTAAGTTACAAAATATTTTCGTACTGGAAACGCTTCAGACTGTGTCCAACATGCGGACAAAACTTCGCGTGAAAAATATAAATTGTTTTCCGTCAATTGCGCGAAACAAGAGTAAAGCCTTTAATTGTTCGAATCCATTCGTTCTTGTTTAGACATTGACAGAAATAACATTAATAAGTTCTGTCTTCTTGAATAAATGGTTCTCTGTGATTCTGTCGTGTCCTACTTTCCCCGGTGAATTGAGATGTAATTATTCTCTCTGTTCTGCTTATAGTTCATTAATCAGAATTTGTTGGTAAAAATCGCCGACTGTGTTGTGAATCTTTGTCCCGTTGACGGCGGTCCAAATTCGATTGCATTCGTTGCTACTATTAAATAATCTGAAATGTTCTTTCCGAGTGCTTTGTTTGCACGTCTTATACTCCTTTATCGCTTTTGTTCCAATTGAGAGTTTCTCACGATATTCATTCAAATTCTGCGAAGCAATTAAACGGAGCACTCGCACTTCTGTGTAAGCCCTGTGCGAGCCCAGGTGTAATAATTTTATGCACCGGTGCACAGCGGACTAAAATCGTCGAAACACGGACTTAATTCGTGTCATTGTTATTTATGCACTATTCGTTACGAAATGAACGATTTAATTGATCTTTGGGATGGCGTATTACAATTTTGATCGCGATTGATCGCGAAACAATTTTGCAAACGGTGTAAAACAATTAATTACAAGAATAATAATTACAATAATATAAACTGTATCTACCGTGATGCATTGAATCATGTAACAGTATAATAATTCAGTATATAATTCATTTGCTTGTACACTGTATAAACTTTTCACATATTTTACATTTCTTACAATTTTTATATTCATTTTACATATACAAACTATATCTAATATTTGATTGCTTGAAAACAAAATAAAGCAAAAATTCTGAGTAAATTGTTTTCTCTTCGAAATAACGAAGTTATTATTTTTCACTGGAACGTCTGTGTACTCCAAATTTGTTGAGAATTTCTACCGCACCGATAAAAACAAAAATATATCGAGCAAAAGTTACACAGTAACAAGTAGACGAAAAATAGCAATAGTGAAAATTGGCAAAAATATTTGTATCCAATAAAGAATCCTAGTCGGTTTAATCTTTTTTCATGGAACTATATAATTTCGTTAGCATCGATCGATGGATTTACGTACTCTCGTTAAAAAAGTATTAGCAGTGTCCGGTCGAAAAACGATTAGTTTACAAGTTATGATTTTCGTTCGGTGTTCCAAAATACGACGTGCGTCGCCCGGGGGTGTCCCTCAAATCTATGATCGTCGCATCTGCGAATTCCGTCTTCTTAAAGAAGCAAATTATTATTTCCTGTCACAGGCCGGCACCGCTTTAATAAGCGAGATCCGATGCATTCCGCTTTGACAGACTCCGTCGAGGCAGCCTCCGTCGATTTCACGGAGGCAACTGCTGCCCGCTGATCCTTATTAGTAGTCCTTGCTCGTTCCGAGCAAGCGGAACGCGGCTCCTTTCCGGCCGATTTTACCCGGGGAAGCTCTCCGAGTGCCTTATTCGCTCATTGTCAAAGCCCCCTCCCCCCTCCGCGACCCTCGACGGCTCTTTCGGTCTTATTTAATTGGCGAGATCAGCTTGTCCCTTTTCCATGCCGGCCGCGAACCAGTCGGCGAATGCGGCCCGAAAATTCCACGGCGCGGCGCGGCGACGGAAAAGTCTGAAATTCGATTCCGAACAATTCGCAATTCACGGTGGTGAATCGATCGGCCGTGTATCGGAGCTGGTAATCGACGGCAGATTATCCCGAGCACCGTTCTAATTCGAGGCATTCGCTCTCCACAGATTATTACGACGCGCTCCGTAACCTCCGCGAGCGATCACCGATCGTTCCACCGATGAATTTTCACGATCCTCGATACATATCGCCCATTGTTCTTCGCCCGCGGATTCCGCTCAAGGAGCACAATAACCAGCGGCGACTTCCGGGTCGATCGCGGTCGCAGGCATCGGGAAATCCGATGATTGGACACATTTTTGTCACGCCATGTTTCAAGCGAGAAGGCTAAATTAGATCAAGTTAAACGCGAATTGTTCTACACTTGTTTGATAGAAAATTAACGAACGAATTTCGAAGTGAATCGAATTACGCAGAAATTGTTTCACGTTTTTAGCACATCATATTTGAAGTCTCGTTTAAAATGGCAATTTATTACATGACAATTTACAAGCAAATTTGAAGTGTAATTTGAAACGCAATTTAGAAATTTTGTCGCGGTAAATTTATAATCGAAGTTTGAAGCGAAATTGAACGAAAGAAGAATTGTTTCACATTTTTGTCACGTTTAATGATAACAAAAAAGATCCTGTTTGAAACGAAATCAAATGGAACAAATATCATTTCACATTTTTGTTACGTTCCAATTTAATATGAAGCTTAGAATTCAATCAAATTAAATGAAAATTGTTCCACGTATTTGTCACATTCAACGTAAAATCAATAGAACTAAATCTAAACAGATTTTTATTCTTTATTTCGTATTTATACGACCACTTTTTCGATATAACTTGAGCATATAACGAGTTAGACTCACGACAAAGATTTTCTATACGATCCAAAAAATAGCAGATTCAGCAAAATGTGCAGATTGCGCACAACAATGGACAATTTGGGAAGAGAAGAGCCTTGCAGCTCGTTTGTATAATTATTGACAATCGGTAACTATAAAAACGAGGCTCGAATAATCGTAACTCCTCTTTCTCAAGTTCTTAGAGAATTCAGTGAAGATTTAGGAGACGAGAATTAGGGAGAATTTACCGTACCATTATTCATTGCTCCTAAATCGAAACGAAATCTGACTCTTTCTGTATGAAAATCAAATAACCCGAGAGAGACGTTTCGGATCGTAGCGCCATGAATTTTCATGATCCTCGATACATTTCGTTCATTGTTCTTCACCCCCGGATTCCACTGAAGGAGCCCAATAACTCGCGACGACTTCCGGGTCGATCGCGGTGCTCGTCGTTTTCATTAAGTTACACCTATCGGGCGTATTTAACCCCGTGATGAAGGGGGACGGGGCGGGGGGATGGTTCAGTGTGGGGTGACCGCGGTCGGAGCCATCGGAAATTCCGCTGATCAGACGTATTCGCTGGTCTCATTCAACCTGAAATAAGCCGTTCCCCTCGATGAAGCGACGGCATAATTAGTTTCATCGGTTCGTTGATCGCGAACATTATATTGCACCGCTCGAGAGCGGAATTCGCTCGCTGCCACGGTGACGGCGTGCTTTTTTCTTCTTGGCGAGTTCCGATTTCGTGGTGGATCGCTTCTGCCCGGGATACCTTCAGCGAGCTCTAAAATATTGGCTGGAAGGAAAAATTAACGGTTCGTGGATACGGTGCCCTGCAAAAGTAAGGTACGAAAGTTTTGCTCGTTTTAACCCCCGGGCACCGGTAGCTAAATGGATTTCGTTTAACCCCCGCGTCTGGACTCCCGGAGCTGTATGCGAAATAAAAATTGTCGACATCGATTTGAGAGAAACTGAAGCCGAATGGAAAATTTCATTCTCTCTTTATTGATTTTCAGAAAGTAGTTTTTCCTGTTTCGCGGATATCATCTATTTGTTCTCGATGGAGATTCATAAAATCCGCATAAACGCATCGCTGTGCACCTGAATCTTTCGAAATGCTGTTCGTTTGAATCGTTTGATATGCGTCTCTCGGAAACGGTGACTCACTGGTTATGTCAACATTAATTTTTAATTTAAATTAACTTCAATTATTTTAATTCAACTTAATCGTATATGCATTTATAACAAAAACGAGTCGACCGAATACAAAACCGAAAGAACGTTTAAAGAGTTTCAAAAATATCGTTGCGTTATTTTTTCAGCTCATTGAAATTATTAAGAAGCGAAATAAATAGCTATATAATAATTAATGTAATTATTCCCTGTATTATTTATACAGGGATAAAATATATTTCTTAAAAAAGCGAAATGAATAACATGTAAATCTAAGAGCAGGTTTCAAGTGGCGATGAAATTATGCTAATGTTAATCATAATATTGTTCGCGGTATTATTTAAAAAAGGAACGAAATACGTATTTTAAAAGATCGGAAAGAATTTTATTTAATCTAAAAATAGGTTAATGGTTCCACGTGTATTTATAGTCATACAATGGACCTCTGGAATGGTACCAAGTTAAAGAAGAATAATGGTATTTTAATTTCTTTTTGCATCCCGACCAAAATAAAATCACTTTTTTTTAACATTCCTTCTGCATCCTCCAGAAAATCATTGCCATTCCGTTCATATTTCTACGAAATTACAAACCACTTCTTCCGACTGCTCCAAAATCATAATCTCGAGTCTGCTCGGTAAAGCACGAGCGCGAGCCATTAATTTCAATCATATTAACAAGGAAACCACATTCGTTGTGAATTCCATTTACTACGCTCGCCTGGCGGATCTCGTCGTTTCGAATTATGTATCATTTCTCATTTTCGGTTACATTTTTCGAGCTATCGATCCTAAAGAGATTCGTTCCGCTCACCGAACGACGGCGACGTACAGTGGTCGATTCATCAGTAGTCGATTAAACATGTGACTTATTGTTTGCTATGATCTTTTTTACCATTTGTCCATTTTGGGCACGACTACATAGTTTCAAAGTGGCCCATCCCCAAATCATCCTAAATCTATATCGTGGTTTATAATTATTTTGTTCTTTAAAAGTAAATAATTTTTACAGATTTTAATGTACTTAGTACGTACTTAAATTATGTCACAGAACACTTTTTTAGTAGTCGATTAAACATGTGGCTTATTGTTTGCTGTGATCTTTTTTACCATTTGTCCATTTTGGGCACGGCTACATAGTTTCAAAGTGGCCCATCCCCAAATCATCCTAAATCTGTCTCTTATACACATCTAGATGTGTATAAGAGACAGTTGTTTGCTGTGATCTTTTTTACCATTTGTCCATTTTGGGCACGGCTACATAGTTTCAAAGTGGCCCATCCCCAAATCATCCTGAATTTATATCGTCGTTCATAATTATTTTGTTCTTTAAAAGTAAATAATTTTCACAGATTTTATTGTACTTAATACGTACTTAAATTATATCACAGAACACTTTTTTAGTAGTCAATTAAACATGTGGCTTATTGTTTACTATGATCTTTTTTACCATTTGTCCATTTTGGGCACGGCTACATAGTTTCAAAGTGGCCCATCCCCAGATCATCCTAAATCTATATCGTGGTTTATAATTATTTTGTTCTTTGAAAGAAAGTTTAATGTACTTAGTATGTACTTAAATTATGTCACAGGACACTTTTTTATCTCTCACATTTTTCGAGCTATGCTCGATTGAATATGTTGAATTTTTATTCTATTTTCTAATTACGATTTCGGCGGAGTTCAGCGTTCGCTTTAATCGCATTTTGAAGAGCGACGCCTTACGTTAATGACAAAATAAAAATTGGCTGCTATCAACTGCTACTGAAGAAATCATCTAATAATAATGCCAAAATGGCACGTGCCACAAAGCATACCGTGATTGATTAGGTTCAGCAAAATATCAATATTCTAACTGTTCGCACTCTATCGAAACTAATATGAGAATAACTATAAATTATTTTCTTTATTATATGCAAAAAATTGCACTTTTTAAACATTTGTTTGTAAACAGTTAGAACACTGCATTTTGTTTTCATTACTATATCCCAACAAAAAAAAACGCAAATATATGTGCTAGTAATACAAAATGAGAAAGTAATATTTAAAAATATAATTTTAGTTGTTGCACGTTTTTCTCCGCTTTTTGTATGGTAACCGACCACTGCGCGACGGTGGATACACGTAAAAAAAAAGAAAAGAAAAGAAAGAAAAATGACGAGGCGAAATTCAATTAGACACCGGGAATCGATTTCGTTTTTACGAGGGGTTGATTTTCTGTTTGTTAGGGCCGCGACAATGCGATCCCGTGAAAGCCCGTACAGTATTTCCTGGAACAGTGTATCTTTTCACGCAACGCCGAGCTTTCTTCGGACGTTCACTCGTTTCCTGGTGTTTATTGTATCGGAAAGAATGTCGGGTGACGTTGATCTGCCGGCGCGGCGCGGCTTGGCGTGGCGCGGTAACGTTACCCGTCGAAAGAGGGAAACGCGACACCATGAATTCCGACCGATACTCTAATACCAGGGAAAATTTAACGTCATAAACAAGCGTCCCATGACGTGTGGGACGCTCCCCTAGACAGCGGTGTTACGTTCTGCGGACAGAGAAATCCACAGAGTGTTCTCGCGGCGGGGGAGGCTGGGGTCGCATGTATCAGGGGCCGAAAGTGACATTGCAAATCATTTCAATTTATTTTACGCTGGGCGAAGAGAGCATTGACACACTTTTAAAATTTAATAACTTTTTTAAAAGTGGACTAAACGCATCGAATGTTTTTTCTTTAGACGATGGAAGAACAAAGAACGATGGAGAGTGACTGAAAATATTACTAAAATATGTATTCATTACTATATATATATATATATATATATTAATAATAGTATACTAATATAATAATGTAATAATATAATAATATAATAATATAGTAATGTAATAATATAATAATATAATAATATAAAAATATAAGAATATAATAATATAATAATATAATAATATAATAATATAATAATATAATAATATAATAATATAATAATATAATAATATAATAATATAGTAATATAGTAGTATAATAATATAATAATATAATAATATAATAATATAGTAATATAATAATATAATAATATAGTAATATAGTAATATAGTAATATAGTAATATAATAATATAATAATATAGTAATATAATAATATAATAATATAATAATATAATAATATAATAATATAATAATATAGTAATATAATAATATAATAATATAGTAATATAGTAATATAGTAATATAGTAATATAATAATATAGTAATATAGTAGTATAATAATATAATAATATAATAATATAATAATATAATAATATAGTAATATAGTAATATAATAATATAATAATATAATGATATAATAATAATAATATAAATGATTAAAATCCTTCTTTGGAACTCTTTTAATTTTGCTATTGCTTGAAACGACGAAGAAATAAAATGCTCTAGTTTTTTTTTAACTCTTTTCAGGTCGATTTTTATTTCCAGCATGCGAATGCGTGTTCTAATAACCGTGTTTAAACGATGTCGGACAACCAGGCAACATTCTAGCAGAATGCTTTCTGTTGCAAACGTAACAGCTTTTGCGTAATCGTAATCCAAAGTGAAATTGTTACTCCCGTCCCCGATCTGTCGTATTCCGAAGCCACGGAAATGCATTGCGATCAAACAATGTTAGCTCGAGATGTGTGCGTTGCAGAAAGGATTTTAAATCCGCGGAGACCCGGGACTCCTCTCGGTTAACAATATTTTCGTGATTTTCGTATTATTTGTCTTGGGAACGACGAGTCGGCGCACACACGAATAAGAGGGAACAATCGAGGAAGATTTATAAGGAACTGTTCTTGTGTTTGCGTTGCAAAAGCATATATGTAGATCCCCGGCGTTCCTTTCTTTTCTTCTTGTACGTACCAGTTGGCATACTTAAATATTTGCTTACATTTTACCGCCCTCCCATGGTTCCCATTTCTCGTGTCAATATTCCATCGAACAAAACCTTCGAATACAATTTTATTCCGAACGGGAGAAACGGTTCCTCGCGATCGGCCGGCTCCGAAACTCCGAAAATAGTATCAAATTGTTGCGAATTTACCTTTTAATGATCCATTTGCGTATATCTCGATTGCTGCGCGGAGAAACCTTCAAAATATTTTTGCGCCACGTCTACGAAGCGGCAGAAAATTATTCGCGCGTAAAAACATTGTTTCTCGTAACTGTTCGAATCGAAAGTTCTCGTACGAGATTAATGTTACGAAAAAATCTGGAATTCTCTGCCGCATCGAGAAATGCATAAAATAATTGCAGATAAATATGTTAACTATGTTAAACCAGTCGGATAATGCGATGTTTGAATAATTTCATCCGGTACGTGCTTCTTGCCCATTGGGGCGGTACGAACGATGCGTTGTTAATCAGAAATTTGCATTGAGTTAATTGCAGCATAAAAATCCCTTTAATTAGTTCCTTGTATTTGAATAAAACTTTAGGTAGTACCTGGGCGTAGCGGCTCGTCGGCCGAGCGTAAACATCGTACGGCTCCAGAATTAGTGTGCCAAATAAAATATAGCAAACAAAGTAACCAAACCTTGTGAAATATGCAAAAGTCTGGCACCGACTGAGTGCAATCTAAAAAGAACGCGGACATGGAACGTGGACGCTCAAGTCGCACAAATCGAATGTTCACAAACGAATGTGAAACGGCGGCCATCGCGAAAGTAAACAATTGCATGCAAATATAATGTTAACGAAACAATGAGCGTAATATAAGCGTAATATAATTAATATAGTAATATAATTCAAGGACGATTGTCCTTTCGCAAGTTGCATTAACCCTTTCAGTGCTGACTAAACTGAAAAAATATGGTAGACAAAATATCCAAGTTCTGTCTCATGATTTTATGTACCCAATTTTTATACTACTTTTCATGAGTTTATATTATTTTCATGACTTTGTATATGTAATTTCTATGAGCTTAAATCACTGTTTGTATGACTTTAAATCATGTTTGTATAACTTTAAACGTATGATAGAACTTAAAATACGTTTTCAATGGACAAAATGCAATAACTGAGTAAACTAATTGCACAAGTGACAAACACTTATAACTGAACTACGGATCTTCATGCAAAATTAAATTAGTGTAATTTAATTGGTGAAAATGTCTGTCGTCTTTCATAACAGTGATAAGTTGAAAATAATGCAAGAACATCCGAAAATTCCTGCAATTTGTCTACAGTTTTGTGTTTGACCTTTTCACTCTTGCCATAAATGGATAAAATCCGCAGAGTCTACTTATAATTAGACTGTCGACTTCATGCATTTATGAGAAAATTGGGCAGGTATTACCCAAACTGGTAAAACAGTTTAAATAAATTAGGACTAATAAATATTCCAACCAGCGAAAATTTATCTGTTCGCAGACCAAATCGATTGACTCCACTTTTTGAAATACCTGAAATTCAAATGTCAAAGCACTTGAACTTTTTCTATTTATAATAAATTTTCCAAATAATACAAAATTCTTTCGATCGCCGAATAATAAGTAATTTATTTCAGTTAATAACAATTACACCAAGGCTATTCTATCTTAATTATTCCACATGTCTTTATACGAAAGCTATATCTCTGTATTTATGCATTGTACAACGTTTATTTCAATTTTTATTTTAATGGGAATTTTGAAAAAAGAAATGTTATTATTTCATCACATTTCTCTACTTTCTGTTTCATGGAATTAATCTCGATCTGGCAAGTAAACGGCACAATTACAGAAGAAAGAAACGCATTTCTAAGTGACTCCTGCTTTTTCCAATAAATGCAGAACATTTTTATTTCGCACGAAGGTCCGCAGTCTATTTACAACTCAATATACATATACTCTTGACAATACGATACCATTTGCCGACTTGCAGACATAACCTAAACTGAACGAAACATTACAATTTCCACTAAATAAACAGGTGTCCTAATATTTTCGGTAGCCGGTGTTAAAATTCGCAGTCTCGTCGCGAGGCATACTCGATTCCCGCGACTGTTCGAAGAACCCCCCAAAACGGCTATCACAACAGTTTCCAACCCCCTGATCTCACTTTTACTCGCGGTAATTTACCGCGATCGTCCGATCCCGTTCCAAGGGATCCAAGCTCTCTGATCCCTTTCCATCATCCTCTAACACTGTAACACGCCGAACAACGTAAATAGTGTAACCCGTTCCGTCCCCCATTGGGAGGACTCCCTTAACCCCGTAATCCTCCGGCTCCCCATGCCAGGCCGCGGCGCTATCGCGAGCAACGCTAATAACCGGAGCATAGCCGCTCGAATTAGCGGAACGAGTCGCTTTCGCCGAATAATGGCCCCGTTGTCCCTCCGAACGTTCAGGTGGGACACCGGGCGACTACAGGGAGCTGGGATACAGCGGCGCGGAGGGAGTCGAGGTCGCCGAGAACGGATCCTTGGTGATCCCGCGGGTATCCAGAGATCATTCGGGGTTCTATCTGTGCCAGGCGAGCAACGGCAACGGCGCCGGCCTCAGCAAGCTCATTCAGCTAACAGTCCACGGTAAAATATTCACGTAACATGGAGTTACTGGCTGCCGGCTCGATCTGTGTCAGCCGGTGGCGCGGCGCGGCGCAACGGCCTCGAGGACTTTGGATTCCGACCACGACCGGCTGGTTCCGAATTCTTCGTTTCCTGGCCGAATTTTTCTCTTTCTCTCTCTCTCTCTCTCTTCTCTCTATTTCTCTCTATTTCTCTCTCTTGCGCTCGCGCGCACGAGAGTCTGCTTCTTCGCGGGAAACGCCCGTGGAGAAACATTTTGGAACGTAGCCGCCTGCTACGTCGGGGTACGTGCTTCCGACCACTTAGTCTTTCTTATGAATCATTCGTTGGCGAGAGGGTGAAGCCGCAAGATCGACCTATCCGTTAGGCTCCATGATCGGGGCCTGCGGAAATGGGATTAGCGAGAAAGTCTGCGAGAGTTTGGAGAACAGAGCGTCGAAATTCGGCTGACCTGTACAGGGTTTAACGAAAAGAAGTGTCACGATTTAGTGATATTTAGATTGATTCTAAATCGATTCTTGCTAGATCGACTCTAGCTAGATCGACCCTCGATTTGGCACAGAACGATGTAAGCAAGGTGTCGTAAAATTGACCTCGATTGGTTTTTTCATGGTCGAAGGGTTGAAAACTTTGTTTCAACGTGTCGCTTTCTGCTCGTCTCGAGGACAAAATTTATTGAGATCAGTTAACAGATTGTTGTTAATAAATTATTTCTTGTCTTACTGTCGTTACTGTTACTGTTGTTAACGTTATTATTGTTCTTATTGTTTTTATTGTTAGAATGTAGAGGTTTGTGTAAAATAGAAATTTTTAGAGATGATCAAACAGAAATGAAATAAAAGTAAATTCATGCTCAGTGGTATAGAGTGTTATCATTTTTATTCGAATCGATTATTTTTCGAATGAATTCCTGTACGAATATATTCTTATTCGAATAAAGACGTATTCGAATGAATTCTTGTTCGAATAAAATCTTATTCGAATGAATTCTTATTCGAATAAAATATTATTCAAATGAATTCTTATTCGTACGAATTCTTATTTAGAATAAATTCTTATTCGAATAAAGTCATATTCGAATGAATTCTAATTCGACTAAAATCTTATTCGACCGAATTCTTATCCGAATGAAAACTTAATTGAGAATGAATTCTTATTCGAATAAAACATTATTCAAATGAATTCTTATTCGAACGAATTCTTATTTAGAATAAATTCTTATTCGAATGAATTCTTATTCGAAATTGTTATCTAGATCAATTTGTATTCGATTGAATATTTATGAAAGTATATCGAATAAAATTCTGTTCTGCAATCCTCGTCTCTTATCCGTCGTCCGAATAAAATTTCGTCCAATTCTGACACGGAGATACAGACGTTTTCCAAGTGAAACTTCTCGAACGATCTGTACATTCCGTCGCGCGAAACGTCAAGTTCGAAGATCGTCGAAGATTAGCCGACAAGTAAAAAATTCGTTGTAAAAGATCCGTAGAACGTATATGTTAAGATTGTGCGACTCGCGGTGACCGTCCGTTCAATTCATCTCATTAGCACGGGACACAATGGAGCCGAGTTGTTTCGCGTTCAGCGCCGTAGAAAACAAGTTGCCGCAGCGCACGGTTTCGCAGTCGGGGAATCATGAAATCGATAGTCGAACATTGTTTGCTAAAATCGTGAAACCTCTGGCTCTGACGAAGCAGCAATGCGGTGGTCGGTTGACAATACAGCCGGCGCAGTGTTCCCTCGGCGGGCGTTCCCACGAATAGGAATCGCACGGCCGGAAATTAATGCGTGATTCCTGAAACAGCGGGCCCCCAGGTATCGGTGAAAACCGAACAGAAGTCGGTGCGACGAGGAGAGAACGTGAGGCTGCGCTGCGAGGCCGAAGGAGACGCTCCTCTCGATCTGAGCTGGCGTGCCCGTGACAGCCGAGTCGATCGCAACTACGATGTTAGGTTTGTATCGAAATTAATCAACCCTCCCTATTCCAACCCGCCCAACCCAACCAACCCCCCGCACCGCCCCGCTGCAGGGCCACCGAGGCTACGAGCACGATCGATGAGACTGACACTTCGATCTCCTATCGGCCACATGTTAATTACATCGGAAATCGCTTGAGACAGACCAACTGTGTCTATATCGTGCCCTGATCCGCAAGACTGACAGGAAATGAACCCGCGAGAACTAGTTTGCGTACCTTGGTAGCCTCTCTTTGAGCCGCTTTCCCTTTTCCTACGGAAAATTTGATTTTCGTTCCGAAGTACACGGAACGTGCAACAATGTGGTAGAAATGATCGTAATTAACCAATTAGCGGTTCCAGAGTCGCTTCAAAGAGTGTGCAACTCGCTGTAATTACAGCGCGTACGTTTGATTTTCTTCATATTTCGTTTAAACACGACAATTAATTTTCATTGAACAGTTCACGGTGTGTGCAACAATGTCGCAGAAATGTTCGCAATTGATCGGATAGCTATTGCAATCACTTCGAAAAGTTACTGTGATTACGCTGCGCGTGTTCGATTTTCTTGATTTTTCGTTGAAACGCTTTTATAAAGTATATATTGCTTGATAAAGAATATCAAAGTATGTATCTATTTTAACCAGTGTTGGCTGTTTTTCACGAGTATATTCGCTATTGTAAGTATAGTCATTTCTTCACGACGAACATACTCGTCAAAGACAGCTAAATGATTAACACTGAAACGGCGCGACTCGGGTCCATTTTTCGATCCGGAATATAAATATCGTTATTCGGCTATCTCTATCTAATACTTGAATTTTTTTACTACTTTTTTCAATACGTGTATAATTGTAAATTACGCTAAACATACTCGCAACAGTTATATTTTTGTCAAAAATATGCGCCGTTCGGTATGAGAAATCGAATAAAATTGAATAGTCATGTCATTTGTTACTATTTAAATTCGAGAGGCTGCACAACGAATGCGTTACGATGAATTAATATATTTACGTTGATAAAAGACTTTATATCGTACAAAATTTCACATTTTACAAAATTCTATATTAAAAAATGCACCGTTTAAATGATTTCTTTCAGGCTCAGATAAAAAGCTTTCGAAAATGCAATTCTCTTTCCTCTTTTGTAACACTCCAACCAATAGCAAACTTCTAGAACAATGTTCACTCATTTCACTATCTAATTAAACTGTCCCCTCCACACCCGAAAATTTTCGCTCGCCCAGTCGAATCATAAAGAAATTGTTCCGTCTAATGAGGCATTGAAAATAATTTCGTAGCTCACCGTACGAACATTCTCTCCACCAGGTACACGATAGACAACCAAACGGTCTCCGGCAGAGTGATCTCCGAGCTGCACATCGTCCAGGTGAACAACATGGACCGCGGCGATTACGTTTGCATCGCGACGAACGCGTACGGCCACGCCAGGGCGACGATCCACCTGCTGGTCCAGGAGCCGCCGAATTTCCCACGGAACGTGCACGTGGCAGAGCGAGGCAGCAGATCGTTGCTGCTGGCCTGGACCTCGCCGTCCAGCGAGCTGGATCCGGCGCATGCTGGCTCGCCGATCATCAACTACATCGTCCAGTACAAGGAGGCGCAAGGTAGGCTTCGCGGAATCGCTTTGTCCTGCCTCTGGTACATGACCGCCGCCGCGATAAATTGGGTAACGATTATTGATCGCGGAACTGGCCGTCCGTCCATCCGTCAAATGTCACGCGGGACAGTCGTATCGCACGGGAAGCTTCCCGCGGTCTTTTTACGGGCCATTGCTATTCCCTCCTCTCGGATGTTTTCATCGTGTTACGAACACTGGACCTGTCGCGAGTGTTTCCTTGCGAACCAGAGAAGCTTCGATTTATCTAGATTTCGGGCGGTTTCGATCGCGGGTGTGCAATTTGTACGATCTTCGAGGCAATTCTGTTCAGCAGTTACGTACGAGTGGGTCTGAATCACGCAAGACACGTTTATTAACGTGTGTATTGTTTGCTGATCAAATTTATTGTTAAGATCATTTACAGTACGGTTAATTTATTGCGACTGTATAATTCATTTCACTTGACTTGTTAACGTTTTGACGCGTGTAGATTGTATTTTATGATACGAGTCAAATTTTTCGAAAATGTCGCTGACGTCACTATGATTCTAACTGACTCATATAGAGGGTGTTCATTTAGCAACCTTGAATATCTTGAAAACAACATATTTTCGGGAAAATGTTAAATGCAAGGGTTGCTCGATTTTAGGGGGCAAATACGATTAGTTTATTTATTTATTTTCTTTGTCGATCGCTTTGATGGTTATTTGGAGGGTAACTTTATTTCTTTTAGTGGAAAGCTTTATTTTTATTCACAGATTTGTATTCTGCGCTGAAAAAGAATAAACTCTCGAGTGAAATATTTTCAACTCAGATTTTACCTTACAAGGATATTTAATAAAATGAAGAATTTGTTTACTCGTGAAACGTTTTTATTTTCTTTATTTTTTGTGACTGAATGCTGATAAATCAATAACAATTGCATCCGTGTTTCTTTATGTTGTACAAAAAACCACATGGAAAAATGCAAAATATTATTGATTCATCAGCATTCGGTCACGAAAAAATAATAAAGAAACGTTTCACGAGTAAACAAATTCTTCATTTTATTTAAATGTCCTTGTAAGATAAAATCTGATTGAGAAATGTTTCATGCAGAAGTTTATCCTTTTCTCGCGTAGAATAAAAATCTGCGAATAAAAATATAACTTTTCATTTGAAGAAAGAATGTTACTACAAACACTTCTGACAATTCAATATCTGCCTAATTAAGATCTCATAAGATTAGAATGGTAAACGAGAGATCTTTAGAGACAGTTCGTAACTAGGAAGCTTCCCGTGACACGTGATTTATCTCGATGCCTGTGTCAGAAACAGAAAACATGCCTCTGATGTAAAGAATCGCACAGACTATGGCAATAGTGACTTGCTTTAAAGCAACAGGAATTTTCTCGCAGTGTAAAATTCGTACAAATTTAATTAGAACAAAAGAATTTACGAATCATTGCTGTTAAGATATAAAGCAACAAGGTTCTCGATCATTCTGTTCTTGGTTCAAACATTTGATTGTCATTTGATAATCCGTGTACCAGATTTTCCGAGAAATTATTTGCTAAACTCACGATGGTCTGTGAGATTCTGAACAGAAGTCAAAGCAGAGTAAATTCTCCCTAATTAACTCTCAGATTGTGCACAAAAATGAACAATTTAGGAAGAGAAGATAGATTAATCCTAGCCTCGCGTCTTGTTTTTATAGTTGACAACAATCGATAACTATAAAAACAAGACGGAATGCTCGAATAATCGTATCTCTTCTTCCAAAATTGTCCATTTTTGTGTACAAGCTGAGGGTCAGTTAGGGAGAATTTACTGTATTTGGCACTTATTGTCGTGTTTCAAAACATCTTTTATGTTTATCAACAAAATATTTGATATGAATAATTTTCTCAAAAAGAACTACATTTAATATATTCCAATATAGTTTGTTAAGAAGTTTCGCAACTTTTTCGAATCCTGGCAAAAGGTGTTCGGTTTCGCGTGGAATGGCCCTGTAATAAGGGGACAATGGACTGGTCTTTCTTTCCATGCGTAGTAACTGAATCGCACCAATCGTTCTTCAATTCTAGCACTTACAGATTTCCTCTGCAACNTAATCGTATCTCTTCTTCCAAAATTGTCCATTTTTGTGTACAATCTCAGCGTCAATTAGGGAGACCGTACGATATGTACGATAATTTTTCCCTAATTCGCACTGACATTGCGCACAAAAATGGACAATTTGGGAAAAGAAAATGCGATTATTTATTTATATAATAATTTATATAATAATATAAATATATAATAATATAATATTTATATAATAATATAAATATATAATAATATAATATTTATATAATAATATAAATATTATATGTTTATATTTCCTACTTCCCAAATTATCCACTTTTGTGCGCAAATCTGAGCGCGAATTAGGGAGACATTACTGCGATCGATCATAAACGCGTTTCTGGGTTCCGTTTCGTTTCATTTCGTTTCGTTTCGTTCCGAGATTACGAAGGGGAGTCAGATCTCGTCGGATCGCACGTAGATAGATAACGTTAGATCCCATTCTCACTAGCTACGCATATTCATAGCGCGCACTCGTTGACGTTCCTCGCGTGTGTTCATACCACCATGCCTCTCCATGGGACGAACCGTGAAATTATCCCAGGAATACGTTACACAGGGCTGGACAAATATTATCAGACGAAACCCGGCCCTGTTTTTCTAAACAACGAGCGCCGTTCGCGATTCAGAATTCCGTATTTCGCGTGGAACGGTCGCTGCGTGTTTCACGCGATGTTATTATTTCGCCGGAAGATCCAAGAGAATTGTTGCGGCACTTGGCTGGGGGCTGTTTACGCTGATGTTTCGATTTCTTCTTCCGCACTCTGGGATGCTGGCGAACTGGGTTAATCGTCGATGTGTGCAACTAATTGGACGGTTTACGGGCTTCTTATCTGCATGGCCTAGCCGACAGTCCAAATATTTGGCACTGCTATGATAATGACGATATCTGATGGTGCATACTTATAATTGGAGAAAGTTTAGTCCACGATCGCAGCGTTCTGCTTGCACGTGACTAACAGATAATAATGACTGCGGATTTCTGTGCATAGTCAAAATCGTAACAAAATAGAAATCATAACAAAATAGAAACTAAATAGAAGGTTCTACCTTTTTTTTAATAATTTCGGCGAATTAGATGATATATATATATATTGCCATTTTTATATGCTTTTAATATTTCTACTATTTTTTAACTACAATATTTTCAAACATTTATACCGCCAGACTATTTAAATATAATACATTAGTCCATGGGATCTGTAAATAAATAAAAATATGGTTTCAAATATTTTCAATTTCTAAGTGATGTTAACAAATATTTAATAGTTTATAATACAGGTCGATGTAATTTTTTTATAAGATTTATGCTATAAACATCTCGTTTTAATACGGAACGTATTATGTTTTGGTACAAAAATAGTAATAATAGTAATAACTTTATTTATCGACGGGATAAATCCTATTTTAAGAGTCACTCGCATCCAGTTCATTTTTCGAACAACTGTCACTTAAAAGTGACAGACCCGAGACTCAAAAATTTCAGAATATAATTTGAACATTTCTTTATTATAACTCGATGTCTCACTGTCAAGTATAATCGAGTTAATTGTTAATTTCATTCTTCTCACGACAATGTCTCTTTTCCGAACAAAAAAATGGAAGACATCTTAACGCAGTGTGACAGCGAAGGATTAAATAGCAGCTACTCCCCGGTTTTGCTATAAACGCATAAAATCCGCAGTCTACTAATGACCAATCAACAGGCTGCAATGTCCAATTATCTAAATCTCTGAACAGCGAAGTACCTGAACGTGTAAATAGCTATTCTATCGATCACAATATACCCTGATTACAACTTTCCTTGATCGCAACTTCCCTTGATCACAGCTCCCCTTGATCACAACTTTCCTTGATCATAACTTCCCCTAATGACAAAAGAGTTCCACGATGGTTAGAAAGTACCATCCATCCGAACTAACAAGTCTAACTGGCGCGGGCACGGGGAACGCGGGGCGGGGCTGGGGGGAAACACGCCGAGCTGTTAATTTCTCGCGGAATTAACGATTCATGCGCCGCGTTTGTATCGCAATTAACCGTTGAAGTACAGTTTAGCAAAGTTTCGAGGTGCCCGAAGCTACGCCGACGGCGTCAAGCTCCCAAATAGGACTCGGAATGACAAGGTTTACGTACACACGTTACGCAGCCGACGCGTCTTGACTATGTGTAGCGGCGGCGTCAATTAGTCTTTTTCCTGGCCGCGCTCGTTCCGCGCGGGACTTCTGGCAGCCACGTAATCCGCGACGAGATGAAAACTGATACGCCGAAGGAAATGGATACGCCAGCGCTTCGGGATTATAGTCAGGTGGTCTAACCTTTGCCACGCTATACCAGACACACGAGTGTCTTCTCCGTGCGGCAGCCAGAGAGACGCTTCCCCAGCGACCCGCGACGTGTCTCAAATTCAATGATCTTCAGACTCTTCCCGGTCTGAGTGACCTGGAGTGAGCGAACTGGTTAGGTGGCTCTCGAGACTTCAAACAGGGGTTAAGATTGATCGAAAGGTGGTGTTATAGGCCGGTCCACTACTCGCGCCTCGCTTCGGATAACCGTGGTCAGCTGACTTATTGCCGAGACGGTACGCGCAAGGAAAAAGGGTCAGAGGGACGCTTCGGAATTCAAATGGCGGCCCTGTTCCGCGCCGCGGACGTCATCCGCCCCGTTCGATGCTGCCGTTCCAGGTGTATCTCGGCTGTCCAGGTGTCCTTTGATTCGGTCGCGATCGACTCGTGGAATAGTCGAGACGTTTGTCGACGTGGTCCGGCTCGTGCTGTTCGTTCTCGCAGCACTTCGAAGCATCGAGCAGCTTGGTGGAAGATGCCTTAGGTTTCACGGTCTCATCAAATATCTCGATTTCGTCATACATTTATATTGGATCGAGCGTTTTATTTCCTTCCTGATCCGTTGCAGGAATGCACGAATTAGAATGAACAATTACGATTCTTCTCGATTTATTGTTTTGCAAATATTCGCTTTCTCCAGATAAAATTCATCCATTCGCAGGCCATATTCGGCTTTTTTCAAATTCAGCTCATCCTTTTGCGGGTCGTATGCAGCTTTTGCAAATTGAATTCATCATTTTACACGTTATTTAATTATTTGGAAAATTAAATTCTGCGAAGATGTTATATTTTCGCGGATGTTATTAACCCTTTGCACTCGAATGGCGACTCTGCGGCGCCACTAGAAATTGGTATACTATTTTTCAAAATCATTCTAAA